GAGTTGCGCTACAATGTGGGTGCCTGTTGCACCATTGACCCGCCGTCCATTCCGACGTCAAATAGACGCTTGCTGGTGTGCTGCTTTGCTTCGGTGTCGCAAGCCACAGTCCTTTTCGAACAGGTCACAATTTGATTGCACTTTTGGTTTCCCTGGTGAAGGGCCTGATGACACTTGGTCCCTCTTCTCCCACAACACCGGTTCTCTCCGAACCACAATGCAATGGCAGTCTTCCATGGATTCGGTCATTTGTGTTCAAGAACCACGCATTGGTCGGAATAACCACCGTGATGCCTCCTTCCGTGTTCAGGCCACTGGTCGTCAGCTTTTTTCCTCTAAGTTGTTACCTGGCCTCATCACCAATCATGGTGTTTCACGCACTCCACATGGTGGTTCTGCCATTTTGGCCCCCCAGGAGACCACCCAAGCTTTCGATCCCTTGCAGGATATCACTGGCCTGTATCAGGAGTTGTATAACTCAACTAGAGTCACTGCGGTGTGGCATCAGGTCACCAAACATGTTCGTGCTCTCATTTGGTCCTTTTACGGTCGCTCAGGTGCCTCATCAGAGCAGGATCCCCACTCTTGGAATGACCATGCACTGTCACAGATCTTTGAGATCTCCGCCCAATACGGGGACATACCGGTCTTGATTGCTGGGGATTTTCAAGCAGAGCCCCTTTCGTATTCGGCCATTGCAGGTGCCATCCATTTCGCTAAGTGGGAAGACCCTTTCCTCTCGTTCGACACCGAAGGTTTACCCTGCCGCGATTTGACCTTTTCTTCCGATAGATCTTTCTCGGGGCAGGAGGGTTGCTCTAGCATTGACTCGATCCTTCTCAACCATGTTACATGCGCGGCCCTTGTCAAAGCTGAAACAGTTGCTTCCTTTGAGACACAGCACCGTCCTTTGAGGATTGTCTGCTCTTGGCCGAAGATTTTTCTCTCGGGGTTCATCCATCACCGAACGGCTCCCTTGCTGTTCACCCAGGATGAGAACAACTGCACAAATCATGTGAACACAACCTCACATGCGGATGCACTTTGGGATGACTCCTTTGCGCAGGCCTTCGATCAAGCTGATGGTGTTGATCAGCGATGGCAAGTCGCCAATGACTTTTGTGTCTCGTTCCTTTTGCAGAATGGTGCCAAATGGGGCAAGGGTCCAAAGGAAAGGGGTCAACCTCCTCGTTTTCGGTCTCGAAGGGTGTGTCCTGGTCAGAACCATTTTGGAGGATCTGCTAAATCCCGTTTGTCGCGGTTTTGCCGTGCATATCGTGGTCTTCATGAACTCAGCATCCGACTCTCACGCCAACAAGGTAATGTTGCTGATACCCAAGTCACGATTAACACGGTTTTCAGACTTCGCAAGCTGTTGACTGACTTACACTGTCCTTGTGTTTGGCCTCAAGGTGTAGTCCCGTCTTTGCTGCAGGTTTGGTCCAACCTGGCTTGGATTGGAGATGCTGCACGTACCCTTGATGTCAAGACTAAACTGTCTCGCATCCAACGGTGGAAGCAAAAGATCCAAGAAGACTCTCGGTGTGGTAATGCTTTCATTTTCAGACACCTTCGTAACCGGGCGAGTGAAGAGCCAGCCAATCTGTTACAGGACTCTGCAGGGAACATCATTGTAGATCCTTCCCAGGCAATTCGTACGTTCAATGAGGCTTGGGGTGACGTGTTTGCATGTAACATTAATGCTGACCACCCCTTACGTATGTTGGATATCGTCTGGCCTTATATTCGTGATCACACCTCGAATTTTGAATGCCAGTCGATAGACGAACATGCCCTTTGGACTACCATCCAGGGAAGGAACCCTCAAGCTGCTCCGGGTTTTGACGGTTGGCGTACTCAGGAACTACAGATGCTGCCAGCCGCTTGTCTTCGCCCCTTTGTGACGATTTTTGCTGAGTTAGAAGTTGGGGATGATCCTCTGCCTCCCACGTTAACTTGTGCCCGTCAAATCATTCTCAACAAGAATGGGTCTTCGCACCCTATGCAGAAACGTCTCATCACGGTCCTGCCAGTTTTATACTTGGCTTACTCGGGGGCAAGGTTCCGCCAACTTCGAGGCTGGCAAATTAATTCCATGCCATCCCAACTGGTTGGAGGTGTGCAAGGCCGCAACATGTCCTGCATCCAAACCCAACTTAAGCTTGATCTTGACATCGCTGAAGCACAAGGTTTTGATCTTATTGGGATGAAGTTGGATAAGGCCAAATGCTTCGATAGGATCATTCCCTCTTTCGCCTCCTGCCTTATGTTGGCCTTTGGGATTGATCGTAGGATTGTCACGATTTTCAGCAAGTTGTATGATGGCCTGTACCGCCACCTGTCTTTTAAGAGTTGGTGTTCGCCAATCCCTACGCATGCAGCCAACGGGATTGCCCAGGGAGACAGTTTTTCCCTAGTTGCGATCAACGTCTACTCCAAGGTTTGGGTGATTTTCATGAGTCAACTTCCGGAGATTGTAGCCATGGCCTATATAGATGACGCTTATCTTTGGGCCCGTCTTGAAAACGCTAGGGCGCTTGCACATGCGGTTGAGGTCACGCGTTTTTGGGATCTCTTGTCTGGACAGTTGCTTAATGATAAAAAGTGCGTTGTGTGGGGTTCTTCTTCCAAGGCCCGTAAGATTTGTAAACAGCTTTGGCCGGATATGTTGCTTCAACTAGAGATTGAGGTCTTGGGGGCTTCTATCCCCACTTCTAAGCGTCAGGCCTTTCACTTTGCGGATGCAAAAGTTGCTGCCATTGTCAAAGAGATTAAACACATCAAAGCCCTCCCACTTCCTGTGTCTGTGAAAGCCATGTTCCTTGGAATCAAGGTTATCCCAAGATTTTGCTTCGCGGCCTCTCTGAATCAAATCCCCAAGGAAGCTGCGAGAAAATTTCAATCTGAGATTGTCCACACTCTGTGGGGCCGAAGACCGCACTGGAGGTCTCGTGCGCTGGTCCTGGCTTTTGTCTCAGATCCACACCGCAATGACCCGAACTGTGCTAAAGCCTACCACACAGTGATGGAGTTTCTCCGCTTTCTTCGAATGCCAGGGAACGGCCTGGAGAAGTGCAAATGGACAGCAGCCCACGGCGCCTCTGACTCGTCCTTTCTTGCCAGAGTTGGGGCTGCTTTCCAATTTTTTGGGCTCACCCTTTCCAGGGACCTCGTGATTTCATTTGGAGGCTCTCCTCTCATGCCGGCCTGGGATATTCACCCCAAAGATATTAAGATGCTTTTGCAGCGCCTTGCTAGGCACAAGTGTTATGTTGAGGCGGCCAATCAACATCGTAAGGACTTTCGGCAGCCGTCCGGAATTTTAGATGTTGATCTCACCTGTGGCTTGAGAAAACTTTCCAAGATTGAGCATGAATCTAAACCGCTGGTTGAGAGCCATTTCATTGCACAACTGGTTGGCTGCACTCTGACCCGTGACCGTATATTTGCAGCGCAGCTTGACTCGTCGGACCAGTGTCGTTTCTGCGGCCAGATCAAGGAGTCTCTTTCGCATATTGTTTTCGACTGTGAGTCCTATCACTCTAGCCATCCTCCGTTGCCGCTCCATGAACTAGGTGCCAATTTTGGTCTTTTGGGGATTGTGGAACACCCAATTGGTGTGATTCGTCACCGCTTGAACTGGAGTGATCCTTCGCATCTCGGTTGTAGTGACTTTGATCCACATTCGCCGCCAGTTGACTGGTGGTCCGATGGGTCGGTTCTATGGCCGGATATTTTCTGGCTCTCTTCCGGAGGTTTCGCCATCGTTGACCACTGTTCCAGGGAGGTTTTTGGTGGACCAGTCTTTCACCTTCAGATTTCCTCTTACACCACTGAGTTGTGGGCGGTCGTTGTTGCTATTCACAAGTGTACCTGCCCCACTAAGGTGTTTTCTGATTGTCAGACTATTGTCGACCAATTTGCTGTTCTCTGCGAACAAGGGGACCCTTGCGGTACATGGTCCCACCTGGCCTGGTGGCAAGCAATTGCCAAGCGCAGGAGAGATTTGATACAACATCATCCTTCTCCGTTCACCTTGACTTGGATTCCCTCTCACCTGTTCGAGCATTTGCCGGAACAGTTTATCACACCTGAATTAGCGGCCGCTAAGCAAACCGAAGTTCGCCATATCGTTGGTAACCGTTTTGCTGACAAACATGCTAAGAAACATGCCTTACAGGCCACCAGTGTGCACCCTCAAGATGAAAAATGGTTGAAAGACAGTATTGTTCACCGACAGGACTGGCTTACTTGTTTGAACATGGATATCGCCGCCTTTCAGCTCTCTGACATGTCTTCAAGACAAGATGCTCGTATCGAAGAGGTAGCTACGTCCGAGGATGTTTTTGCGCTTTTCCCACGATGGGAGTGGAATGCGGAAGTCTCGCAATTCCCTTGGATCCCACAAAAGGATTTCGCTGCGGTTGACATCCCCACCACGTGGACGGACCGTTTGCTGGACTGGAATTCCTTGGGGGAGTTCTTTGCTGACCAAAGGTGGAAACTGTCGGAGGATGCGGTCACCTCTTATGTTGAGTTGGCGGTCCTCTTTTACCTGCAAGGTCGGAACCTCCCTTCACACGATCCTGCGATTCATACTTTTCGTGACCTGACTTCCGAAATCCGGCAATTTGTGGCTGCAGCTAGACTGAGTTCTCAAGATCTTTTTGTCCCCGGAAAGCACAACCGTCACCGGAACAAATGTATTGGCAAATCCATGCAAATCCTTGCCGAATGTTCGGTTCGCTCGAATTTTAGCAAGTGTTTCAACTGCCCGCTTACAAGCCTGGGCTTTCAGTTTGGACAGTGCGGAATCCTAATTTGGGGGTCACATGTGAAATCACATGTGTGGAGGACTTTAAGCAGAATGCTTGAAGTACCAGCCGAGATTCGCTCGACGCGACGGGAAGAACAGAATAGACTGTCCAGAAAAGGTCAACCCACCAGGGACTAAGGGGGTCGCTTCCACCCGCAGCCATGTCTTCGAACATCTCCCCTGCCTTCGGCGCGTGGCAGATGCCTCGATCCTTGGCCCAGCGGCGAATCACCAGGATGAGCTCCTGAAGGCCATGCAGCTGGCTCCCACCATTGGCAACTGCCGAGGGGGATGAGTTGCTGGCGGCGTCCGGTGCCCGGGAAGAGATCTTTCTTCGTGCACACAGCTGGGTTGGAAGGGGGAGTTGGAGGAGGAAAATGTTTGGATGTCAGGTTGCTATGTTCTTGTTGGTATCCAACGTGTTTTCCTCGCTGTTGATGTTTTATGTCAGGTGGGTGTAGGGATTTTTAGTCCGTAGCTTTCACTGGGGTCGACGTTACGGCGGCGTTAGCGACAGCGAGCTTTCAACGTTTTTTCCTACGTACTTAATCTGCGCGTTTTGCTTTGGGGATGCTGCTCCGGGTTCTGGCTTTTAGCCATACTTCTTCTCTATGCTTACGTGTGTATTCAAGACAGATTTGTCATTGGGTTCTACTTTCACTGAATCTTGTTTTATCTCTTTTACACATTGGGCATTTCTTCGTGTCATTCATATAGCTAAAATATGCTAAAACGGGATATGTCTTTAGCCTATTTCAGGGAAGAAGCACTTAAGGAATAACGAATATACTAATATAGTATTTAATCAAGATACTGTATGATTAACTCATCCTCAGGTAGCAAAACATCAGACGCTAACAGCAACAACACTTGCTCCCCTCATGTACAAGGCAGAGAACCGGAACGAGCAAAGAAAATGAAGTAGACAAACAGTCAAACGATATCACATGATATCACCATAGAAGAACGAAAAAGGATAGGATGAAAATGGATGAAAGTGTTCACAAAAAAGTAAAAACCAAAACGCCATCGTTGAACACCAACAAACAAAATAATCCAAATACCTAACATTCAATAAAAAAATGCCCCAGTTCTTTTTTTACCTTTTTTGGGGGAGGAGGCTATTTCTATTCAATTTGGGGCCAAAATCAGATACAATCAAATGAGCGGGCATTCTTGCATCTGTTGATCCTCTGCATGCGTATATGTTTGAGAAAGAAAAAAAAAAAACTTCCAGCCAAACGCCTGCTTGAAAAAAAATTGCCACCACATGGTACCCGGTGGCACCGCGGTGGAACCGGTTCCACGGTGTGCTCCCTCCTTGCTCTGTGGGTTCAAGTTCCCGCACCTCGACGAGTGCGACTGCCGGTCGACGGGTTTTGACGTCGACGGGTTTCGACGGGCCGACGGGGTTCTCATGGTTTCGATGACTGAACGGTCGACTGCAATGGTGTTGTTTATAGGGGACAAAAAGAAAATCCTCTGTGTGTACTCCAATGGGCCTCTAAACCTCTCTCAGGGAATAGACCCAACCCATCCCAACCCCTGGGTGCATTCAAAAACTTTCGCTGCTAGACCAGCCTGAGCAGCATGAAATTCGTGGTTCTGTGACCCGAGGTGAAGGGAAGCAACATGAAGCTTCCGGTCTCCCATCCCTTCAATCTTTTCGGGCACACCGAATTCCGGAAGGTTAGTTCAATCACCTGACGTACGTATTACATATTAGCTCCTTTTGATGGAAACAGAACAAAAGAATCATACCTCTTGATTGACATGTTGTCAAAATCCCCGAGTGTTGGACCCCACTTCATCTCTTCCATCAACCCCAACTGCGTCTTCTTCTCCCCAGGGCCACCGGGCTCAGCGAGCAAGGCAGCGCTGTGCAGCGGCGTCACCGCGTTCACCGAGATGTCGATGGGCACTGCCTGGGGCGCTGCGTATTTGCGCCAACACGTGGAGCAGCACCAGGAGCATTCAAAGAGCAACCGAAGCGACTTCAACGAGAAATATTGGGAAATTCACCAAACATCCTCAAACACCAGCACTCCCGTGCTTCGCCCGGTTCCTCGTCAAAGATCTTCAGCTCCGCAGGTACCAACAAGGTCATCTTGGGCTCATTCCTCACCCGAAGACGCTGCCACGTGCGGTGGCCCCGGGACTTGGAAAACGCCTAGGAAACAAACATCATATCGATCCAACCCGGAGAAGGGATTGGGGTCTTCCGGGAGGTCAGGGGTGAAAAAGCCATGAAATGGATAACCCAAACTGGATGGTCCTTGGTGGTTCTACCCATCTTCACGACTCGTCACCATCTTCACCCACACCCTCAAACATCCAATCCCACTCCCTCAAGTGAAACATATCCTCCGTCCAGTGGGGTAGAAAGACACGTAATCTTGGAACGAAGACGACTGTCCTGTGGTCAATTCCAGGCCCAACAGAGTCCCCAAGGAGCGTGTTTTGGGAGTCCGCCCCAGAAGAGGTGCCTCAAACTTGTTGACTTTTATTGTCGCCTCATCCCACTCAGAATCCTCAGAGTATCCACTGAGCTGACCGGTTCCGGTCAAAAGGACATGTAATTCACAGCCTGCACCTCAAGGATCACTGCACACGTTTCATCACGTTTCCTCACTCCATTTCGCTCCCGACTTCGGACTTCGCCGATCAGCCAACCATAACAGCCACCCGGACGTGGCCGTGCGCCGTGGGCCTTTCAGAACGACACCCGGGCGTTCCCCCCCCAGTGTGGTCCCATCGCGGCCGCGGCGCCCTCGGAAGCCGCTGCGGCGGAACTTGAAGCCACCGGACTTGGCGCACGAGTTCGACGAGGCCGGAGGGGACCAGAGGGCCCGGGTCGGGTTTGGGGAACAGGACCTGGATGTGCAGGTGAAAACCAAAGAAATACTGGGAAGTGAAGATCCTCTCTAGTTCAGTCAATATAGTCAATGCTCAAGTATGTTCTGGCCTGGGAAGAGTCCTTGCATCCCACTCTGGCGCGAAAAGAAAGGCAGACTGACTGGTTCTCCGTGCCCCTCGGCCATGTAGGTTTGGGGGAGTGTAAATGGGCCATCCCAACTCCAGCGACTTTTGCATATGAATTATCTTCGTATCATGCATCTACCATCGTTTACACTTTACACGGTTGACACAAAGATATGCTCCGTGATCCCTTCTGGTGGCTTAGGCCACCCGAAACCTGGATGGTTCGGTCCGTCACCTGCATCTGGGGTTCACACCACCAGACGATCTGCGCAGACACGCAGCCTGGATGATGAGACTTCGAAAACGTGGCCGTATGGGACTGAAAACCGAACCGAATTTGAAGCACCTTCTGCTTTTGATCCTGCTTAGTCTGGAGAGTTCAAGCACTGGAAGCAGAAGTTGAAAAAGAAAATGAGCTCCTTCTAATAAGCAAGTTTCCCATGTTTGTAAGTGAATCATGATTCCACCTTGGCCTTGGGACGTTGTCTGCTGAATCACAATACTGTACGTTCAAGCCATGGCAAGGATTTCCCATGGTTCTCGCCATGTTGTGTGTGGTTTTGGGGCACGGCATATACAGTACTCCTCTGAACACCGTATAGTTCACTTTTTGTACATGGGTGTTCATGCCCTCAAACATGGCACTGTCAATTGTGACCCATCCACGGCTGCTACGTGGCTCGCATAGATCTGTCGTCGCCAAGTCCCTGAAGACCACGGACCCATCAGTCCCTGCTAACACCGATCTCCCATCAGGCTCGGTTTCTGCCGGGAAACCCGGCCACAGACCCTTTTGACCCAGTGAAGACGGAATTGGCCGTTTCTGGGAGGGACCGGGCGGAAGGGAGTCCACCCTAGCCTCCGGTCGCAGCAGTCACTTACTCTGAGTAAGACTGTTGATCAATGACTCCTCCCATATGGAGATACAGTTACTCATTCTGTTAGAGAGGGTTTATTGATCAACAGTCTACGTGACTTGCCTACGCTACCATGTGGTTTCGCCCTCTTCACCATCTCTTCACCTCATCCCACATAAAAATCCTCTTTGCATCAAGTGGCGCCCATTTCTGCATCATACGATCTGCTGACTGTTTGGGAGGCAGCTTGGAGGTCACGCAGTCGGGGCGGACGTTGATGACCTGAACAGCGGCCGTGGCGCGAGCGACTTCAAAGCACGCTACCCACACCACCCTTCACACCAAGAAAGACTCCAGGAAATCCCAGGGACTCCACCGGTGTTTCTCCTTTTTCCACCACGCGACCCCTGTCCACCCTGTTTCACGCTCCAACCGCCCTGCGGTTCGCCACCGATGTCGGTGCGAGGCACCACGTCCACGTCGGGCACCGCCACGCCATTCGCACGGCCCCGGGAGAGGTCGCTGCTGGCAAAGCCCAGCACTTCCACCTGCGGCGTGGAAACCCTTCACCGGGGTGAAAACGGTTGGAGTGGACCCCGTTGGTTGGACTCTATATGGAGAATTAGTCCCAAACTTGGGAGGACCCAGGGAGACCATCCAAAAGACCGTTTCTCTCATAATCCAAAGCGCTGCAAGATGAACACATAGACGAACACGCAACGTCCTCCGAAAGCCTGAGGTGCCTAGAAGGTTCAGAGATGTGGAAAACGAGGTGATCCTGTCTCTGTAGAAAAGTAGGAACATCAAATCCTTTCGAATGTGGCATCCCTGATGAGTGCCATGTTTCCAAAAGTGCACAAAACAAGTCCATCGGCAGAAAGAACATGAGTCAAATATGGTGGTCTTCTGAAACAGAAGGCGGAAGAACACCTGTCGCACACACCTCGGAACGAACATGGAATTGGACAGGTCTCCAAGTCTGGAGGAAATGAGTCTCTTCTTCTGGGTGTCTCCAGTCTCATCCCATGATCTACAATATCTATAGAGCATTTATATATACATGTGTGTACTCGAAAAGGAAGGCCCGCAACGGGTCGTGCAAAACGACGAACGACTGCCGGAAGGTGTCATCTAACCGCCCTAACCCTTCCGCCTCTGGAAGGCTGCTCGCCAGCATCACACGGATGGCCTGGCGAATGAGGTGTTTCAATGTGCTTTGGATCCAAGACAGTGATGCTCAGGATGTCAATCACAATCATCTCATCAAAAGGAAAAACAAAGAGCCTCCAAAAAGTGCCCCGGGTGCCGAGGACAACAAACAAAGACCTGTGGATGTCCTCCTCTTCAGGTCTAGGATTTTCGCACCACCAAGGGCCCAAGGAGTTGGTGGGCACCAAGTTGAGAAACCAAAATCAGCCAAATGGCCGGACTATGACCACTTTGGAAATGCAATCAGCCCAAACTGGCCCCATGTTGAACTAGAATCATCCATCTTTGGACCAATCACTTATAGACCAAGAAAATGCCTTCATCAGCTGCCCCATGTTCTTCTCCATCCAACGGACCCTCCGACCCTCCTCTCGCCTCCGCCAGGCAGTCGACCCCTCGTTGACTGGCCGCCGTGGGCCTGAGGGAGTCGCACGGGGGCCGAAGATGTCTCGCCCCCCGCGGAACATGGGATCTCTTAGAAAAGGTCTTTTGGACCAAGTGAACGAAGAGATCGAACCTGAACCTGAAAGAACGACAGTCCGGTTCCAGCGATCCCAGAGTCCACGCGTTCTCCGGATGTCTGGTGTTCTTTGTCCGCTGCATGGCTCTATGCCGAGCCTGCCTATCAGAAGTCTGAGTCACAGCACATGTGCTTCTTCTCCCCAAACACACATGCTCTGCCCGCATGCGCCGACGCTTACGCTCTGCCGATTTGGCACTTGGGTCTCGGGCATGATTTGCGTGAGGAGCTCCTGTCGACAGGTTCAAAGAGCTCTAAATGGCAGTCCAAACGGATGAAAAGCAACAGGTTGACCGGTCGACTTGAAAAGGAACAGGTCCCATTGACCCAACAACTGGCCTTAGGCCTAGTGAGGTCAACCGGGCCTTGGGAGGTCAACCCTTCAGGGTATGCTCCTACAGCCCGCAGCCATTTCGGTCATTTGTCTTTGTGCTGACTCGTACCGCGAAGCCGCAGGTGTTCAGCAATTTTTTTTCTGTGGCGAAGACCAAGCCCTGAACCCTGAACTTCTCAAATGAACAAAAAGACATCCTTCTCTCTCATGCTCTGCCACCAAGCCCTGATGCATCGGCCAATCCTGAACCTCTTCCTCCAAGGACTCTCCCTTGAAGCTTGGCGGTACAATCGGAACCTGCCCGCACGCGTACAGCGCTTGCGTTCAGCGGCAAAAAAGACTGTCTTGTCAAAAACTCATGTCCCGTGGAGACTTTTGCAAGTGGTTAGGGTCCTCTGTCAGCTCTGTCTAGGTAGGTTTGCTCCCGACGAAGATATATATGACTCAATCCCACAGCACCTCGTGGCCCAGTGACCCATTTGGATCAAGTCTGCTCATCTATACTGTCTATACTTACTCTTCTTTGGACAACGAAGTCACCGACTTCTCGCAATACACATAGGGCTCCAAAACATGACTTTTGATTGAAAAAAACATATAAAAAAGCCAATCCTTTCGGCCTTTCGGTCGGTATATTCCTTGGGCCCTGTGGATGATGGTTCAGTTGCAGGCCTTTCTCTAAAAGAGTAAAGGCCTTTGCTCGCCGACTGTTACAGGTCATGGGACGCCCCGAACCCCGCGAACGGGTCACTGCTCCACCTTCCTGGGAGCATGTGCGGTGGCTTCTGATCGGAATTCCTCCGATGAAAACTAGATCCCCTGCAAATGATCAACAGGCCAGTGTCCCAGGTCTTGTGTTTGGTTCGCAAGGGTGAGGATGATCGGGATGGAGAAAGTTTTCGTTCTTCCACGTTGTTCCTGGTGTGCTTGATATCGCCTTCCAGGACTGTCTGCCCTGAGTATCTGCAACCCCAAGAACCCGATTTGGGTCCGGACCGTGGCAGGCAGCGCGCGTGCGTCGACATGAGCACCCCTGGGGCTTTGCTGCTGCTTCCTGACCAAATCCGACCCGACAAGATGAGGAACATGCCCTGCAAAAAGCAAGGGCACCTCGACCAATCTAGATTCGGATGTTCTCTTGTCGATGCCCTGTGTTTCTCTGTAGTCTACAGCCAGCTGAAGGGCCTTTGAGCCCTGGGCATGTCCATTGCAGTCTCAGACTTGGCTCTGCTCTTCTATAGATTCGAGTACATGAGGTGGGTCATATCAAACAGCACATACCAACAGCAGGCATCGGACCAGAAATTAACTAGTGAACATCGATATGAACCTGAGGAACGCTACAGAAAGTGATCTTCCTGGTTTCCTTGCTTTGTCGTACCATAAGTCGTGAATCGCCTTTTGCTGGTTTCGCCTTGAAAGCTCATCGTACCGGTGGGGGGTCTGCAAACACATACGCACACGCGCACACACTGCGATGACTATGCTGCAGAAGGCGAAGAGGCCTCCACCTAGTAGCTTCTTGCTACTAGTGAGAACTTCAAGAAGGAAGGCATCGAAGAACAGCAGAACACATCGAAGTTTGGAGGCCTACCTCTGCGGGGTCCAAACCCCTGCACTGGATCTGAGGAGGAGCCTCATGGCACTCATGGCCTTTCCACACTTCAGTGAAGGTATGTGAAGGTTTTCCACACTTTCCAAGGTCCAAACAAGGTGGTCAGATGTTGAAATTCCAGCATCGCCCCACCGTGCGAAAAGAACACAGCCGAGGGTCTCGGCCTGGTAGGAGCTGCGGGGCGACGCTTCCGAACCTGAGGAGAATTGCAAGGAAAGAAGGTACCCTTTAAAAGAGAGAGAAAAAGAAACAGAACATGCTGGCAGAAGCAGGACCAGAATGTAGAGTCTTCGACTAACCTCACTCTTGAAATGTTGAGTCGAGAAGCATGCAAAAAGACTGAGGAGGTTAGTGTCCGTGTCCGCCCTACACGGAAGGACCAGACTGGCACCAGTAGAGATCGGTTTCATTGGAACTTGGATCGGTTCGCCTTTCATTGATATTGGTGGTCAACCCATACACCCCCTGCAAAAAACCAGAGATGTCTCGTCCTTGGGCCACTCACAACCATTAAAAAGACCACCTCGCCCAACCTTTCATCCCCTTTCCATCCCCGCAAAACTCCGCCGCCTCGCGGGACTCCGGGGCGTGGTAACCCTTCTCCTGCGCGGCTGTCCCCGCGGCGGTCTGTTCCTTCATGTCCTGTCTGTTCCTTCATGGTGTCCATGACCATGCCCAACATGGATAGCAGAAGTCCTCCCTGCATGGCCAACCATGTCCAACCGCATCAACCGCGGAGACGACGCGCAGGTCGCGCCGTGCGACGCGGTACGGCGAAACCGGAAGCGTAACTCGGCCTCTGGGAGAGACGTCTTCAGCTTTTTGCCTCACGACGTCTGGGGTGTTGGGGGACCAGCAGTTCGTGCTTTTGAGTTTCAAAGGGTGACTATATAAATGGTTGCATCTCCCCACCAGGATGGAACAGTGGATAGTGGTTCTGTCAGTGGTGGGGGATTCTTGACAAGCCAAGTCAACAGAAGTTCCTGACCGGTCTTAAGTGAATGTTGGTTATGAGTAGAAGACAGTAGAAGTATGATGCCAAAGAAACTGCTGAACAAAAGTTATGAGGGGCATCACGTTTGGACTTGGGATGACTTGGGAGGATCTCCCCTTGCTCTTCGTGGCAAGCAGGCATCACGTTCGTTCAGCAAAAAAAACTTCTGCTCTGTATATCTTGAAAATCAACCTTATTTGACCTTGAGCGCACCTTTTTTAGCCCGTGGCCCTGCATCCTTGCTTAGTTGAACTTAATTAATTAGGCACCTACTTCATTAAGTAAGGGCGACTGGTTCGTTCCTAGCTAGGACGCAGGATAGCTCACACAGATGATTTGGTCCCTAGATTTTTCGATAAACCTAACAACCTTCCAAGCCGAGCTCCATGTCCATGTCCCACCAGTCATGGACGTTGAGTACTCGCAACACGCATGTTCTATCTCAAAGCCCTATGAACCTCTGGCCTTCGAATGAACATCATCAAGAAGTTGATAGGCCTCATGTCCAACCCGAATGCAGCCTTCCAATTGCATTTCTTCCCCACCCATAGCCCCTCTCTTCCGGAACTTCGAAGCTCAAGCCACCAGAGATGGGCACTGCCATCGAGCGCTGAAGTTGCTGTACCTCTCCGCTGAAGTTGCTGCACCTCTACGGCCACAGGTTTGCACTCTTCTCCCCACCGAAACCAAGAAAACCTCCTGGGAAACGGCCAAGCTTGATTGTTTCGTGCCCCATCCTGTCCCAATTGGAGTCCAAGACGCTCCCCCCCAGACGCTCCCGATTCCCAGCGTCGACCTGCGTAGCAAGTACGGCGACCCCAGGCGCACGATGTAGTAACAAAAGGCCCCAAGGCAGGTGAAGATGAGCTGCGTGAGGTCCAAAGGTACCTGATGAGCTGAGTGAAACGACGGGTGATCTGAGGGTGTTTCAATCGAGCAACAGTTGTCTCAGTGTGCAACAGTTTGCCAGTCAAATTAACCTCCTGTATGAGGTTAATTGGACTTTGAATGGATGGTTCTGTTGATTGGCCAGCTCAACATCTTATCTCCTCTTCTCATCGCAAGCTGCTCTTGAAACTAAATAAATTGATGCGATCAAATCCATACGGCTGAGCGATCATGCACCAAATTGCCATCGAAATGTTGCCAAGGGGGCAATAGCACAGAAGGCTGTGAGAATCAGAACCACCATGAGGTTGCTGGAGGAAGGCTTGCTCCTTACAGCCCGTTTCAGCGGATGGCCAAGCAAATGTAATTGCATTGAGATCATTCAACCTGTAAACAAGACCTCCAAGATTCGAGGATTATACCTTAGGAAGTGACCCAACGAGAGATCCCACCGCAACAATCCTTTGAGCTCTTGCTGCCCAAGGCTCTTGGGCAGGCAGCTGAGAGGAGCCTGCAGCCAACTGTCACTCCAACCAACGCAGATTTGGGGCTTGTCAAGACGAAACAGGCAGGTCCATGATCAGCAAAACGCATCGATCCAGTCCCGCCCAAAGGGTACCTTTGTTTCCGGGGGCGCGGCCGGAGACGAGGCCAAAAGAACTCAGCAAAATCAGTCTCATAACTTAGTCTGCACATAATTGGATTTATATAAGAAAAGCGAGCATGGTTATGTGTCAAACTCTCATCCTCACCATGAAACTCACGTTTCGGTCTGCCATGGATTTACTGAAGCACCAGTGTCTCTGAAGTTAAAACGTGGGGTGCCTCTTCACCAGGGGGACCATCTTTTTCCTCCACCCAACTCAACAGTCAAAAAACCTCTAGTAGCGCCCTGTTCCCGGCCGAGCCCACCTTCAACATGGATTGCATGGCTACACGGTAGATGGATCACCTGGGGTTTGGCACCCAAACCCACGGGAAAATGTCCGACGTGTGGGCCTTCTTAGAATCTTCTCTGTGAACAGGGCTATGGTGGTATGCAAAGAAAGACTGGAAGAGGTGATCAGAGATTTTGTTCCATAGGTGTTGGGTACTGTGAGGTGTTGGGTACTGTGAGGTGTTGGGTACTGTGCTGTCCTAGCTTATGCCGTGTCCTGAAGCCACCAGCCCTGCCCCATCTAACCTTGGTCAGAGTGCGTTCTGTTCCCTGGGCTCTGCAGGAAGTAGAAATCAGAGCCTAGATTCGGCCTAGATTAAACGGATCTCTTCGGTCGCTACCAGCGGCTACCAGCAACATCAAGACTGCTCCTTTTCATGATATTAAGCAAGGCAAAACAGACGTAGAAAAGGTTATCTACCAGTCAGTGGAAATAGGACCGATCTCCAAGACCGTTGGGGTCTCCAAAGATCCTGACAGACGCAGCGGTTTGGAACCTCACACATAGCCCCAACCGGCCAGGCCCGCGGGCTAGTAAAACGTCCGATCTCGAGCGCTGTTGGAGAATTGTCCTCTGCGGACAGTCGCGCACGTCGTCTCAATCCAGGAGTCCGCGTCCCTAAGAAGAACTGCGGACTGCAACCTGGACGTTCCTAAAGTCATAATCACCTGGTACTGCAACCGGACTTGATGTTTGCTTTGCTCCTCTGCCCAGCTTGGAGAATGCAGCCATCCCCTGCCCATCGGCTGGTCCAATAAGAATCCAGTTATGTAATAATAGCTGAAGCTTAAGAATTCTCCAAATCGCCGGAGATTCCTCTCAGAGAAGGCCGTTGTCGACAAACATGCCCGTCTACACGCCCGAGAGTCTTCCCAATCCCCAACTGATGTGAGTCTTGTGGTGGAGTGTTCTCAAAAACGACAAGGGGACCCCAGTGTTTTTGGCATTCCACTGGTTGAAAGATCAGGCCAAAACTCTGGAGCTTAGCCCGGATGAACGATCCCAAGCCTGTAGCCACCCCCCCCAGGCCCTCATTCCCCCAAAAAGAGCGTCGGTCCTTCAGCGGATAGTGGTCTTACTGTAACTGGCGCGAGTTGAGTTGTGAGTTTACTTGATCCAAGACAGCCGCAGGCGCAGCAGATGTTTGAGTCAGCAACATGACCGATCCGGAAACCAATGACGTTCTCTTCTACAGAGACTCCCAGGTGACCCTGCAAAAAAAACTGGCGCATAGTGAAAAATGTTCTTCAGGGGATGCACAAGTGAATATGCGAAGACCACAGAAGATGTTGTTATAATAATTGGAGAATTAAGGAAACTTGGGACTCATGAGGAGATGCATGACTTGCCTCAAGCATCCACTGGTGTTTTGCTAGGCCCCGGCCCAGCACCTCGTGATAAACCTAGAAAGCTTCAACTATCCCAGACCCCAAACACTTTACCGTAAGAACCCCTAGTTGGCGAGAAAATAGAACAAAAGAAAAAAACGCCATCATGTCCTATGGACCGGTCCCTTCTTCGGCAGGGCCCACGTCCTTCTCCCTCCACTTGTTGACTTCGTGGACCACCTGCTCATTGACTTCGTACATCGCCTCATCAGGCGATGGCAGTGCCAACGGTGCCCAAGACGCGCTGCATGCGGTGCATCAGTACCAACGACTCTCCATGAGAGGTTAGTGGGAAGCAGGCAGCACTTCTTGAAGTGAGGGACCTCATGAGCCCAGCGATTTCCTTGAGAGGATGCCTGGAAAGCTGGTGAAGCACAGAACCCGCAGCACTCGACCGGATTTGGTGGTGATACGTCCAAGATATTCACAGTGTGTCTGGGTACCCACGACCGAAGGCGATCTTGTCACATACCCTTGTTTAGACAAACCATTGCCTCAACCAAAACAAGCTTCGGCCCCTAAAACAGATCCCACGCGGCCGGAGAGCTGACATATATAAGTTTTGCAGCAAGGGTGTTTTCACCTGGAAAAGCCCTTGCGCATGGGTTACCATTGCGGCCCCCCCGAATTGCTGCAAGAGGAAAAGCAACAAAAGCTGCACCAAATTCCAAAAGGTGGGGCTGTGCTGCAAGACAAACTGACCTGCTGTCCTTGAATCGATGTTTCTGGAAGTCGGTCAAGAACCCCAGGGTTCGCTTCAACCGAACCTGTATGCATTGTATGGTATGGCTTGGTTTGGTTTGGTTTAAAGTTTGGTATGGTATATGGTATACCTGGTATATGGTATGGAATGGTATGCTATGGTATGGTATGGTGTATATATACTTATATATAGTATGGTATGATGGTATATAGTATGGTATGGTATGGTATGGTACGGTAGCGTGTATGCATGTGCCACGCTAAACCGAGGCTGTCTCTGCCTTGACCCTCAAAGCGTGTCACCATCAACACCGGCATGACAGCCTACCAAGGTATATCAATCACACAGCAAAGCAAACTGTGTCGTTTCCTTTTGCCATTTCTGCACACTGCAACTTGTCCCAAACTCTATGACCGCAACTTCAGCTGGGGCACCATATGTCTGTAGGTATTCCACAGCTCGTCTGCCTCTTCACCTAAGACCACCCTCCTGCCAAGAACAGAAAGGGCAAGGACAGCGGCAAACCTAGGGGCCACTGTGGTCTAGTTCCTAGACAGTCTCACATCATACCTGAGTCCTGAGTGGTCAAAGGAAACGCGACACATCTATAACCAGTCATTAGTAGAGCTTTGACAAAACATAATCTACTTGTTGATCGTGCCATTCAATTCACACACGGGGTGTCTTGCCGCCAATCAGTTTCCGACCATGCTTAAGTCAGGATGCTTATCTGGGATGTCTTTTTGCGAGAAAAGAACTCTGCACTACAAAGTAACATTCGAGAGAAGGTCTGAATTTCTTTTGGACTTAAGGAGCCCCTCATGACTTCAGCTCTGAATGTTTGATCCCTCAAAAGATTGACCTAAAATGATCTTCTCTCTGGATGAAAAGGGGAGCCACATGTGGATGAAAGAAATCTTGATGTGAGCTGCTTGTCAGGGCATGAACGGCAAGTTCTGCCAAATCTGCCATGAACTTGATAAACGATGATAAACGCACCCTTCGTCAAAAAGGCAAGAAAGTTGCACGAGTCCCTTTAGGCTTGGCTTCGTTTTGACACTGTTAGTACATCTGGAGGCAGTCCACTTTCCAACCAAGCAACAAACAAGCAAAGCAATAGAAGAAGCAAACCCACAGTGCATGGTACTTGTGAACAAGCAATAGCATAGGCAGCATAGGATAGCATAGGTGCACCAGTGGTTGGACCACTGAATTGTACGGTGTTCGGATCTCTGGACTCTGCAACGGTGCCCCGAGTCGATTCTCCAAAGGGAAGCCGATTCGGTGCCCCTGCACCGTTCCGCTCGCCTCACTGCACCGTCGCTCCTGCGCAGTTGATCGAGTGGCACGAGAAGAACCACGGTTCGGAGAAGGGTGGTTACGTGTAACTCTTTGGTAGGGTCAATACAACAGTCAAATAAAGACTCTTTGGTACTGTCACAATGAGTACCACATGTTAATACATGTCAATAGAACTGTCAAGGGAAGTCAAATGACCCACTCTACGTCCTACGTCTTATACCCCCGCACGAGCTACTACTCTCCGTCACACAGTCGTGCAGACTGGCAGATTCTGCCAGTCGAAGGCACATTCGGGGTATGGCAGACCCAATGTGATCTCATTAAGAGCAGCTTCCTGAAACCACTCCCAATCGCAAACGCCATGAAAATCACTCGAGCTCCTGTCTGTATAGGTGAAGCGGCTCTCAGAGAGGTTTGCGCCATCCTTGAGAAGATCCGTGGGATAAAACCAGCTCTTTTTGCGCCTCTTTCTGAGTGTAAAGCTCAGTACCTGGTACATCCACTGAAGAGTTCGGGGATGCCACCCCAAGGGGCTCTTTACCTTCACAAACGGACACCGACGTTGTGACTTTTCGTTCACAGCCATTCGGCAACCAAAAATAGATCTCAAAACCTCGTGTTTGGGGCTTTTCGTTCCAGGTGGTGCGAGCCAAACCGGGTGCTCAACACACGGCTAGCGGCTAGTTCACAGTAGCTCAACACACGTCCTCAACACCCAAAACCGGTCCCTCCGGTCGGTCCCGGTCACGTCCGTTCGGGTCGGTCTGTCCGGTGGCCTTACTGAGGAGGTCAAACATCAACGCCTGCTAGGCTCGGAAACCCACCGAGGTTCGATGGCACCGCCAGTGCACGAGTTTCAGATGTCGGCATTGACGGTCCAAATTTTTAGCAGCCAACTACTCAGGTAACTTGTGCTAACTACTCTGAAACCACGGTAATCTGTCAAAAAGGAATGCATGTCCGTGTCAATCTCTTGTTCTGAAGCGAACGCTCACTTCAGTATGAAGCTGTTTCTTAGGATGAACTGTTGATTGGAGATAGGCGACGTATGGCGACATTGACTTTTCATGGCATGTTTGGTCCTGACGCAAAACAAGGACAGGAATGGCTTGTTTCATAGAGACCTTCTCGGATGGAAAGAGCTTATTTCCAAAAAAGACTCACTCAAAGGGTGGTGCTCTGATTTAAAGGAAACAAACAACTGACTCTGAGTCGTCCCACTGACCACAAAAAAAGAAAAAAAACTGTTTCGTGGATAAAATCTTACTATCCTGGAATCTATCTACTGTATCCTGGAAACTCTCACTAGACACTATTTCATGATCCAATTGGTATCAGGAGCCAGGAGACCCCGGTTCAACCCTCATTTTCGTCAGGCTGATTTCACCAGTCTGTGAATGTTCGCGGTCACCAATGCAGCTGAGATGGGCTCCGACTTCATCACAGAGGAAGGCCCAATTCGGGCCGTAGACTATACCTTCTCTCCAGCAATCATGGAAGTGGAAAATGGCCCCTAGAAAGACCTTCAGATGGAATCCCTGCTGCAACCGTTCTGCATCTCATGCTGCAACGGGGATTGGCTGCGGCCCTATGTTCGGGGTAAACGCATACCCTTCCCATTGACCTTGAAATGCTCATACTCGAGCTTGCGGCTCTTTCTCCAGATTCCGAATGATTCCCACGGTACCACTGCTAGGTTTGCATCTAAGTTGTTTTCTTCATGCAGCAAACTCCGGGGAATCTGGAAAGAGGGAAATTCATCTATGTAGAGCTTTTCAGGTGACTGAGGATCAGCAGACTCGTGCTTACACTATATAACTATCTCCTGGATGTGGCAGCCTCGACAAACGATCTCTTCTCCTTACACCAAATATCTCCGTACCAAACAAACATCTTCGTCAATCTGAAAGTCCAGTACCACACAGGCTGACGTGTGAGGCTGACGTCTGACCTCCAAACCCTGGCATCAGCAATGCCAAAAGCTTCAGGTCCTGTGGCCACCATGGTCCTACAGGTGGCACGTCCTGCGTGGCGTGAGTGGCGTGAGTGTTCCCACCAAATCGCCACCAAATCACTGGTTCCAGCAAGTCACCTGAAGAGCAACCAGTCAGCGCTGACTGCGACGAAAATTCAGGCTCTCAGCACCATTCTGTTGATGCTTCTCGAAGCCAAAAAAATGTCTCCTGCCCAGTCCCTAAGATCAGGCCACGTCTCGTGCCCCACAAGTGTGGGGTCCAAATGGTCGTCACAAATAGAAAAGCACCGGATGAGTAAAACCGTGTCAAAGCATTGGAAATACAAAAGATACATCCAAGTATGTCTTTCTACACTGGACACGGCACTGCCCCAAGATCTATATATAAATCATATATCGTATAAATATTGTGTCAGTGTAGTCCGTGTGAACCCATCGAACAGCATCATTCTCCCATCCAGGTGTCTCTTCCACTGCCCGACATTCTCTCACGCTCCATCCAGGTCAACGGATCGGTGCTCCAGGAGGCGTTCGGGAAACGACGTGCTCAGGGACTGCAGGTTGGGGCCATGCCGCTGTGCAAATACATATATTACAAATAAGGGCCTTCCATGAAAAAGGAAACACTACAAGAAGTGTTCTTCATCTCTTGTGACCCACTTCTCAGTCTCAGAACTCCAGAGAACTGCCAATGAAGAAGACTCCGCTCTTCATCTTTTGCCCAGTTGAGGGTCGACTCAAATCACGCTGATCT